TGCAAATTTATTCCGGCTGGCCGTATCGCAAGCATGCTGGTCGCTCGCCTCGAACCAACAAAGAGCAACTCAGCGAAAAGCGCCAGGTCGCTGCCTATCTTGCACGGAGCTCTCGGGTTGCGCTCTTGTGCAGTACGTACACATTCGTCGTATTGCCCCGCTCCGGCCGGCCGATCTTCAGGTGACTTCAATGCAACAATGGGCTGTGGATTCGGCCGCACACGGCTGGGAGGCGTTCCGCCCGCCCGTCGTCGCCACCGTGGCCGTACCCTGGGCAGCTTCGCAGCCTGGGGAGGGCGGCACGCGGTGCACATCCCAGGAAGTTCGCTCCCACGGGCGGCCGCCGAACCGTTGCAGCTTTAGGCGCATCGAACGGCAACATTCCGCTCCGAACGGCAACATTCCGCTCAAACTGCCGCCCAAAACTCCGGAACGCGGGAACGAGTCACCAGTAATGGCTCATGTCATAGCCGCAGCAGCAGTCTTCTGTTCGCAAAGTGGAGCTCTTCCGATCGGAAATCACACTTGTTGGCCGAGAATCGAGGTTGCGATGTGTGAGAAAATGGCTTGCGTGGGGGGAGGGGGCTGGGGGCGAGGCGCGCGTGTCAGAGTGTTTGAGCGCGCAAGCCGTTCAAGTTCTTTATAGACTACAGCCACGCATCTTTTGCAACACTCGCTCCGCACGCGCTGCATTAAAATCGTTTAGTATGCGCCAGTATGCGTGCTATTTCACGTGCACCCTCGTGGCCACTGGGCTGAAGGGCCAATGAATTACGTTCAACGGTCGTCAACAAATCCGCCGAACGGGTCGGGTTCTGCAAACAGAGCGTGACTGGAGCCGACTCAGCAGCCACTAAGCTGGGGAAATTCAAACACACCATATCGCAAAATCTTTCTAGGAGTGCATTATACCGAGAATGTATGGCACGCTCGCGAGACAGGACTGGGACGGCATATCAATTTGATATAATCATTGCCAGTGTAAGGTAAAACACATGTCAGATCACTACCCATCCACACGGCACCGTTCCACTGTGGGGTCTTTGCCCCTCCCAGCACGACACTACTCCTGCGGCGGTACGCCGCAGTCAGCTGATCGCCGCGGCGCCGGGCAGCGCGGCGGAGCGCAGAGAGCCACGCGACATCTTCTGCTTTGATGTCTCGTAGTAGCTGGTTGGGCAAAATTGGGCAAAAGATAAGAGTTGATTCCACTGCAGAATTTATGGGAGAATATTTTGATATGTGTTTCCACACGTAACTCCTGCGGCGGTACGCCGCAGTCAGCTGACCGCCGCGGCGCCGGGCAGCGCGGCAGAGCGCTGGGAGCCATACGACATCATCTGCTTTGATGTCTCGTAGTAGCTGTTTGGGCAAAATTGGGCAAAAGATAAGAGTTGATTCCAATGCAGAATTTATGGGAGAATATTTTGATATGTGTTTCCACACGTAACACCGCGTAACTCACTTTGTAAGGCTATGATTTGCCGAGTCAAATCTCCGAGACAAGTGACATATTGACATTTTTTGTATTTCATTAAAAAATCATACCTTTGGATTATTTTTCTAACTTTTCATGCATATGCTCGTATTCCTCATTAAATACAGATTGTAAAAACATGTCGCAACATCGGATTGGTGCTTGATTAAACGAGTGAGCAGGCGTTCCGTTGTCATGTAATTTTTCGCCTTATCCTAGGGGCATGGTGCTAGTCAGCGCAAGCCTTCACTTTGTGACGTATTTTGATGTGTAAGTCATCATTTTTAAAGCGATTTAAGGTCGGATTCGGATACACTGGACAATTCTGCAGGGCATATTTTAGGGATTTTTTACTGCGTCCCAAAGGTGGCATAGGGCACATGCTTCGATCGGAAAGGGCACATACCTTATCCACCTGCATCTCTGCATCTGCTTACTACTTATATCGACAAGTTACTGCAGCCGTTTTGGAGCGGCTCACGGCCGATAACACACCGGGCGTGCGCTAGCCGCCGGTGCTAAGCGCTAACCACTGAGTGCGCGTGGCCGACTGCCGCCCCGATGGCGCTGGCCCCCGACACCGGCGCGGCGCTGCTGACCCATGGAGGGGGGAGGGGGCTGATAATAAGTTGAGCCGGAATTGGGATAGAAGCCGGTATGGGATTGGGATAGAAGCTCAGCGAGACTAAGGAATTGTGTGGTGCCTTCGGTACGCCCCTCAAAATCACCCGTGTAGGGCCCTCAGGGCCGCCGGTTATGGAGCCTTTGGAGGCACTGGTGTGGGCCCTCACAGATACCGGTGTGATGCTCTCAGAGGCATTGGTGCGGGCCCCCAGAGGTGCCGCTGTGGGCCCTCAGAGGCGCCGGTGAGGGTCCTCACAGTTGCCGTTGTGGGCCCTCAGAGACACTGCAGTGTGGGGATGTCACAGTCCGGTGTGGGACCCTTAGAGCTGCTGGCTCGAACCCTTTACAGGCCGACAGGGGTTCTCAGAGACCGACAAGGGGCTCTCAAGAGGTCTGCGGTGCCTTCGGGAGCCCTGTGGAGTCCTTAGAGACCAGCAAGGTACACTCAGACGCTAGTGGGGCCCTCAGAGTCGTCGGTGTGGGGCCCTCAAAAGTCACCGGTGAGTGGCCGTCCGATGCGGCTCCGGCGTTGAGCCCCCAGAGCCGCCGATATATGGTCTTAAAGGGACACTCCCACCTTAACATTAGTTTTGAGTTGAGATAGCCAAATTGGTGGCCATGGCCTGCAAATACCGGTTTGGGCACTCACAACATCGACAAATGCTTTATTTAATTCGGAGATATGGAATTTCAAACTTGCAGTTTTCGGATTCTAAGGGGCTAGTGCATTGGTATGCCCCCTTAGAATTTGTGACGTCAGCGGAGATCTAACGATTTTTAAATCTTTTACTAAAACGTTTGGTAGCACGCGGTGGTATATGCTGCTTTGCGCGGAACAAATGCCGCACTTTCAAATAAAGTCGCTAGGAACAGCGGAGATCCCAAAAAGTAAACAAAAGTAAAAGTCTAATATCTTGAAAACCGGTGAATATTTTTCGATGAAATTTGGTAGATATTCGTTTTCGCTCTTTCTGAGCCGAGCGACATCACTTTCGTGCCAATTCATTAACTTTTTTGAAGGTGGGAGGGTCCCTTTAAGAAGCACTGGTTTCGGGACCTCATTTAGGGGTGCCGGTTGCACTCAGAGGTGGCAGTCTTGGGCCCTCAGCTAGGCACCGGTGTGGGGCATTCACAGCCGCCGGTGAGGGCCCTCGCAGGCGCCGTTGTGGGGGCCTTCAACCACTGGTTTAGGGGTCATCGCAGGCGTGTGTGGAACCCTTAGAGCTGCTGGTCCCTGATAGGCCGGTAAGGGCCCTCAGAGGCCGGCAAGTAGCCCTCAGAGGTCGCCAATAGGCCCTGAGAAGCCGGCAAGGGGCACTCAAAGGCCGACAAGGGACACTAAAAAGCCGGTGTGGGGCTCTTATGGAGAGAAGTGTGGCTCTTCGGAGCACATAAGGTGTTCTTCCGAGCCCTGTGGGGCCCTTCTGAGTCGAAAGATGCCAGCGTGGACCCTCAGCCGCCAATTGGCGTCGCAAGGCCCCTCTGGCCCGAGAGGCCCCCTGATCCGATGGGGCACGTGCCCCCTGCTTCCCCTCCCCCGGGTGCAGATAGAGAATGCAATCGGCGGTACGGAACACAACAATTGCAATCGTTCCTCCTCCCGTCGCGAGGTCGCCCATCCGACCCATATCCCATGATTGTCAACCCTGGGGCTCGGGTCGGCAATGTACCGTCAAGGAAATCAGCTTTAGGTGAGTAAAAAAGTTATTAAGAGTCATTAGTTGTCGTTACGTTCGTCGTTCAGTAATAGCAACTATACGGTGCCAAATGTACCCGACGTACAGCTTGGAGCTGGGCGCCGCCCGGTCTCCACCAGTGACGTCACGCTAATGCTTAGCGACCGGTCCATTGGAAATCGCGGGATGATTCTAGTTACCTCTCTTATACGGCCTTGGTTTGGTTTCAATGGCCGGGAATCCCCGGAAGGGCGGGCGCCGATTCCGCCCGGGTCAGCCTAACATCCAGGCTCGCACGTCCGCCTCGGCTCCGACAGGTACAGCACGGCGACTACGCGAATGTGAATCATGAATGGGTGGTGGGCGGTGGATGGTGCCACAGGGGAGGGGGGAGCGGAGGGGATTGAAGGTGACACTTATGTTGCTTGTGATAACTCGCCTCGCCTCCCTGGGTTCCGCCCAGGTCCAGGGATGGATAATCTTCTCCAGCTTTAGCTAAAGTCTTACATTTGATTTTTTTATCAATATCAGTATTATTGGATCTGAGGGCAGGGCAAGGAACAGGACTAGATAGTAGATATGCACAATTTTCCCGAAATCCGGACCCAGCCCCGAACCGGCAGCAGCACCGAAGGGGTCCTTAAGACGGGAAGACAACAATGAACAAGGTATCGGGTTTGAGGGCACTGGGCAGGGCAGAGAGGGTCACAGGGCCTGAATGCAGAGCAGGGCGCAAGGCCTGAAGGAAGGGCAGGGCAAGGTACAAGACCTTTGGACAGGGCACTGGGCAGGTCACATATCCTAGGGGTATAGTAGGGCATGGGACATAACAAGGTGTACGACCCTAGGATAGGGCAGGGCACAAGGACTGGAGAGCGCATGTATGTATGTGCTTAGGTGCATAGTAAATCAGGGCACAAAGCAATCAGAAAGGCAACATCTATTGCATAGTAAAAGACCGAGGCATGCTAATTATTATTGCTTGCACTTTTCCGCTGAAATCGTGACATTTCAGTGTGGGACGCAGTGGTCCAAATTTCGCGAGTGCTACGTCCCAAAGGCAGGGGGCTGCGTCCCAAAATGGGACGCAGTCAGTATGTTAAAATATGCCCTGCAATTCTGCGTAGAAAGAATATAAAGAAAGTGGAAATCAAAATACTCGTATTTGCCACTTATGTCGTGCTAGGATCGCAAAAGTCCCCACGGTGCGTTCAGAAACTCACCTCTGATCGAGACTCCCCACTCTTCAGCAAGATTACTTCTCTTCAGTCTCCCCTAGCACCGTACTTCACTCGCGAGCAACCTCAACACAACACCTCACCCCGCCGCTCGCGTCACAACTGCGCGCGGCTCCAGTGGAGTTCGGCCGCGCGCGCTCGCTGAGTCAGTCAGCTGACGGCGTGACGTCATAGGAGTCTGGAGCGCGCCCGCCGCCCGCTGCCGGCCTACCGGACGGACGGACCTCCCGTCAGGTATGACGGAACGTGGAGGGCGGATGATCGCTGCAGTCCCACCCCCTGTCAGTCTGTCAGTGTCAGTAACCCTAGCCCCGTTTACATAGGAGTTGCCAGATTCACATGCCAGCTCGATCTACTTTCAGGTGTTCGGCCTCCGCCATGTCGACAAATGCTGCGCAGCAAATACAAAATCCAGAAATGTGGTAATGGAGTGCTGGCCACCAAAAAGAAAAAGCCTGCCAAGTTTATGACGCTCTTCATGTTATGTAGTTTTGATAATAAACGACGCATGGGCTTCAAATGAATTGTATGTCGTACATTTGGGCATCATATGAGTTGAATATTGCAAAGTTTTTGCCCAACATTTTAGCATAAGACTAAGTTGTTTCAGAGGTGGAGATCTCGGGGGGGGGTCGGGGTGTCAGGACCCCCCTGAAAACGAATTACTGCTATGTAAGTCAACGGTACTGCATCCAGCCCGCCTCCATCTGCCCGGCCTGGACCCCCGCTGAAATTTTGACAGATCTCCACCCCTGAGTTGTTTCCATGAAAACGATGAAAATAAAGCTGATTGTTATGTTCGATGCACTCCTTGCGGCTTACATTTAGCGGATTGCATTTATTCATATTCTGCATTCATTTATAGAAAGATCAAATATATAACACCCCTTTTCCCGCTTACCTTCAACCTCTGAGCAGTGACATTTTCTTGATCGATTCAAAAGGCATGGAAACACCAAGCAGAAACTGAGTGCGTAAGATATTTGGTAGCAGGTATCACATACGCTCTAAATGACTTTCTAAGCAGATTCGAGAGTCAGTACCTAATTACCTCTAATCACGTTGCGCTCATTCATCAAGTCAAATACCTAAACCGATTGGTAGCGTCATCTAGGCGATCATAAGTGCCAAACTGCTAGTTGAAGACTTCTATTATAGATGGCACTGCTAGACAAGCCAGAGCTAAGCCAGAGGATTTTACCACCGCCGTGAAAAATTCCTAACCAAAGGCGCACTCCGGTCCCCTCAACATAAAACTCCCGATATTTCTCTGACCAATCAGAGTAAGCCTTGCTCGGCGCTGATTTGCTAATCAGAAAATGACGTCATTAGGGAGCCACGGCGTTCAAGCTGTTTTGTGGCGGTTCAAGTGATACACTTAGAAGTCATATTTTGATGTTTTTAGAAAAGTCTAGGATGAATGCTTTTATATTTTCAGAAAAGAACCCTTAATGTTGTTGTTGATAAACCCAACTTCGCTATTTTTGCCAATAGTAATAAGCCAGGAAATCATCTCTTGATGGGTCTTCACGCTAAATCTACCACCCCCAACTACGTCATCATCGTTCCTAAGCATGCTGTACTTGGTCATACTTCGTTGCCCAGCACTAGTTAGCCTTGATTTCCGCCAATCAGAGTGCAGAGCTGTCTGCCGAGAGACAGCAGTACTCGATATTAGTGGTGGGCCAAATACTTGTTTTCTAAGATGTTTTTCTTTCAAGCCTTTTATATCTTACTTTTGTTTATATTATATATCGTTTTATATTTTGTTTTTGTAAAGTATATCTGCATATATTGTGATTTATATAGCTTTACTTAGCTAATATGGCAAAGTGTTTACGAGGGGGTGCAGGGAGATATGGCAGCAGATATGGTGCTTGCAAATAGTCTTTGTACGCATGAAATAGTACCCTTTTTTCGAGCCGAAAATAGCCTATTTATTGCAATTTATTGATGTATTATGCCTGAATTCCGAGAAAGTGGTCTTTGTAGCATTGAATACAGTCACTTGTGTAGTTGCAAAAGGTCACTGGCCAGTTTTGTGATATCTCTAAGCCATCTAGGGAAATGTCTAAATGCTATGTAAACAGGAACCCTGTTTACATAGCATTTAGACATTTCCCTAGCTGGCCTAGAGATATCACAAAACTGGCCAGTGACCTTTTGCAACTACACAAGTGACTGTATTCAATGCTACGAAGAGCACTTTTTCGGAATTCAGGCATGATACATCAATAAATTGCAATAAATAGGTTATTTTCGGCTCGAAAAAAGGTACTATTTCATGCGTACAAAGACTACTTGCAAGCACCATATCTGCTGCCATATCTCCCTGCACCCCTTCGTAAACACTTTGCCATATTAGCTAAATCAAGCTATATAAATCACAATATATGCGGATATTCTTTACAAAAACAAAATATAAAGCGATATATAATATAAACAAAAGTAAGATATAAAAGGCTCCAAAGAAAAACATCTGAGAAAACAAGTATTTGGCCCACCACTAATATCGAGTACTGCTGTCTCTTGGCAGACAGCTCTGCACTCTGATTGGCGGAAATCAAGGCTAGACTAGTGCTGGGCAACGAAGTTATGACCAAGTACAGCATGCTCAGGAACGATGATGACGTAGTTGGGGGTGGTAGATTTAGCGTGAAGACCCACCAACAGATGATTTCCTGTCTTATTACTGTTGGCAAAAATAGCGAAGTTGTGTTTATCAACAACAACATTAGGGGTGCTTTTCTGAAAATATAAAAGCATTCATCAGACTTTTCTAAAAACATCAAAATATGACTTCTAAGTGGATCACCTGAGCCGCCACAAAATAGCTTGAACGCCGTGGCTCGCTAATGACGTCATTTTCTGATGAGCAAATCAGCGCCGAGCAAGGCTTACTCTGATTGGTTAGAGAAATATCGAGAGTTTTATGTTGAGGGGACCGGAGTGCACCTTTGGTTAGGAATTTTTCACGGCGGTGGTAAAATCCTCTGGCTTACGCTCTGGCTTGTCTAGCAGTGCCATCTATAATAGAAGTCTTCAACTAGCAGTTTGGCACTTATGATCGCCTAGATGACGCTACCAATCGGTTTAGGTATTTGTTTGACTTTATGAATGAGCGCAACGTGATTAGGGGAGAGAGGTCATATTGCGCCATGTTCTTAAATGCGCCACACCTTCCTCCTGTCCAAAATTCGATTCGAATGAATGCTCGAATGTGTGCATTTACTTCACCACCAATAACTCGCTCTAATTCCGGTCCACGGGGGCAGGTGAGGTGTCTCAGCTTTCTCACAGACCATTTTTTGTGATTTCCTCTATTTTCTTACGCGAAACAGTCTATTTCGACCTTTGCTAGTGTCATGGTTTATCTTAGAGATAGTGATTCAACTAATAATCATTGTTAATTGCTCGTTTAATGGTAGTTTTGAAAGTTTATCACCACCGTGGCTTCGCTGTCCTCGCCATATTTGAAGCTCATGAAAAATATGTTCCATTCGTAATTGCGCCCACCCTATTTGCGCCCTATTCTTCAACCCAGAGAAACAGCATCTGGTGGTTGGGACACATTTCATTGAACACTTTGATTATTAGAGCGCTTACCTTACCATTACCTTAGCCTTCACAGCATAAATGGTTAATGGGCTGACACGTTCAATTAGGCTACTTAGTTAGGTGGCAAACCGTTGTTTTTAATAGGGCGCTTTTACATGAGAGGCATGGGCGCTTTTTGATGGGGTAGTCCGTAAATGCGCCCTTTGCAGGTGTGTCGGAAAACTTTTCTCTTGTTAATTTTTATGGGTGTGATACAAATTAGGAGTTGTAATTTGATGCCAAAATAACTGAGGTACAATTTGAGATATCATCAAACATGACAGCTGGTCAACTTTAGCCGCAATAGGCCGATATCCTTAAGGTGGCGCAATATGACCTCTCTCCCCTAAATAGGTAATTACTGACTCTCGAAACTGCTTAGAAAGTCATTTAGAGCGTATGTGATACTTGTTACCAAATATCTTACGCACTCAGTTTCTGCTTTGTGTTTTCCATGCCTTTTGAATCGATCAAGAAAATATGTCACTGCTCAGAGGTTGAAGGTAGGTACCTAAGCGGGAAAAGGGGTGTTACATATTTGATCTTTCTATAAATGAATGTAGAATAAGAATAAATGCAATCCGCTAAATATAAGCTGCAAGGAGTGCATCGAACTCAACAATCAGCTTTATTTTCATCGCTTTCATGGAAACAATTTAGCCTCATGCTTAAATGATGGGTAAAAACTTTGCAATATTCCACTCATATGATGCCCAAATGTACGACACACAATTCATTTGAAGCCCATGCGTCGTTTATTATCAAAACTACATAACATGAAGAGCATCATAAACTTGGCAGGCTTTTTCTATTTGGTGGCCAGAACTCCATTACCACATTTCTGGATTTTGTATTTGCTGCGCAGCATTTGTCGACATGGCGGAGGCCGAACACCTGAAAGTAGATCGAGCTGGCATGTGAATCTGGCAACTCCTATGTAAACGGGGCTAATGAAACGCCACTGTCCGCCCAGAGGGCCCCGAGCGAGTTGCACAGCCCAGGCGTAAAGGTGGGCGAGTGTGGAATCCCCCCGCCCCGCGTATTTACAAATTGCAACCGAGCTCCGCCGTGGGGTAACCCCGCCCCCGAGGTCGCGACTGGAACCGATAAGGTAGCACCGGAAGCTGATGACGTCACGCACAGACCGGAACCAGAGGAAGGTGTAGTAGCGCCGTTCCGGAAATGGTACGGTGAATCAGGATGAGGAGCGGGTTGCGTGAGTCGGATTCGGATTCGGATTCGTCGGGGAGATCTCGCCTCTCGCAGTGACGAATTGCGAGCTGGAGAATGTGGCCAAGGTCACATCAACCAAACGGGAAGAATGGTCATTGATCGACCTTATGGCGAAGAAGCACTGGGGACGGTACACTTTTACTTAGTTACTGAACGTTTTGGTGTGTGCTGGATTCCCCTTTGCAATTAGTGGACCAGAAACGCCCTTTATGATAAAAAAAAAAAATCCAGATTACGAAGGTCGTCAAAAGTGTCACATTGGGCAGCGGATGAAGCAGCTATAATTAATCCGTTGACCGCACAGAGGCCGCAACTGTCATGGTTCTACTTCCGACATCCGACGCTGACATATGATGACGAGCACAGTGAGTAAAAAGCGACAGTGGACCGGTGCGCCGTTTATTAGGCAATTAGCGGCCGCCCGCCGCGCCCCACACGACCCGGTAGCACGGTACCGTTATCGTATATCGAGCGGCCCATGACTAGACGGATTACACTGCATACAATCACACCCCGTACCTGTGTAATAATCATAACGATTTCATACCGATCACCGACACAAACACCATCGTTAAAGCCCGATTCAGGAATGAAGACGGTGCTACAGCTACCTGAGAATAAAACACTACCGCGGTGTGTTGTCTTTTACAATCAGTTACAATGCATAGACTGAACAGGAACACTGGCCCCGTACTAAGCGCATCGCAGCTGTAAGCTAATAGCATCTGTCTATAGGCAACGTGAACGATTGATTACAATAAACGAAATGCTCGAACCGCATATATAAATACATGATTGGTAAATAAGCACGTCAAGTATTTCACGACAAAAAATCACAGGAATGTCGGTGAGCTGCTTATTTGACGGCCATGCATCAGAAGTTGAGCAAGAAGGACAGATGAGAGGAGGAGTTGAGCAAAATATACTTGACAAGCACTAAGCACGCGTGAGCACTTTATGGATTGGGGAACATTGCAGGGAGTAAAAACTTGAACTTGCCGACCAAGCTGTGTGAAAATATCGCGAGGCAAAAACAGTTCAAATACCCGCCAATGAGGACATTCATATTACCTATCATGTCCCAAGTCGGCTCGTGTTTAGCAGAAACCGAAAGCCTCATGCAACAGCTGCCTAGCGAACAAGCTCAAACATGCCACAAGGAAGCTTTTCGTCTGGAAAGACTCGTCCTGGGCCGGTCAGCCAGGTTAATGAACTAACACCCCGTACCCTCTATGCTTAGAGGCTCGCCTTTATCTGGTGCCAAGCTAAGCTAAGTGGTGCTGAAGAATAAGACAAGACAAGCAAGAGAAATTTCATCATCCATGAAGGCAATGTGCGAATGAATGGTCAACCGACCAGGGGGTCTTTACGCGCACACTTTCGAAAGGCAGGCAGATGCAAATCCAGCGAAGCATCAAATAAGCTCCCATGCATAGTTTAAAGTGGACGGTCACAAATCAGCATTATAGAGAGCGGAGACCGCGACGAGAAATTCAGCCTATCATCCTATTGCTATGCTCATTTCACACGACTCAGGCTATAACCGTTACACAGCTGATGCTCGATGAATATACAATTTGCCACAATCACTTATTCGTTTCCCATTGGCATAGTATAGTAGTGTACTGGTCGCTGTACTTTTCACACAGTGACGACTGTGTGCGTAGCCCAAGCGCCTTAATTCTACGATTCTATCACCTGTATACGATTGCTTCTCTGACTTAAGCTCTTTCCCCAGACCCAGTAAGACTCGACTCCACCCAGCTCGACAGACTGCACGGCTGACTGGGAGTCAATGGACGGCGGTATCCCGGGCCGAACCCCAGCCCAGGCGCCACCACACTCGGTGGGAGGAAGGCCGCTCTCCTGACGGCACCCGTTCAGCATGTCCAGCCACTCTGTGCGGCACGTCCTGCCGCTCGTGGCGGCGGGATCGGGAAGACTAGATGAAGAAGAACATGAGGACGACGATCAGCATGATGCCCGAGAGGACGCCGATCGCCGTCCACTGCCGCTTGTCTGCGGGACACACAGGAGGGGCCGTCAGGTCAGAGGAACCGGTGGCAAGACAGTTCACATTTTGAGCACTTTCTATCGCACTTTTAGAGTGAAATAACAAGGAACTGAGATGCCTTCATAGAGCTGAATGAGCTCGGGGCCTTAAAATATTCCTAAGAAAAACAATACATGGAGCACCATATAAGCGTTTTCACAGGACCATGGACGCAAGAATTTGGCATATTTCTAAGATGGATTCCTCAATCACCCATTACGGCATACTGTGAAAAATCAAAAGAATATTTTTTCATTGCAACAAACAGAAAAAGGCAATAGGTGCATCACCGTCATCTACCATCATCAACGAGCCATTAATCTCCCCCGCTGCTCTATCTACCTCCCTCCCGGATCCTACCGTGTCTCTCGAGAGAGGAGAGGAATCTGGCTCACCGTTGGAGATCCTGAGGACCTTCATCATTCGGCTCATGGTGGTGTCCACCTTGCCCTGGGCGGCGTCAACCTCGTGGGTGATGTCCTCGATCATACTGGGGGTGAGAGTGGGTAAAGGTCAGCAGTAGAAGGCCGTCAATGTTGGTGAGATGCTGACAAGGACGACACATCGAAGAACAACTTAAAGGGACTATCCCACCTTTAACATGGGGTTTGAGTTGAGATAGCCAAGTTTGCGGCGAGGTTCAGAAACCATTATCTATCTAGGTTGCAACCCACCCAGCCTCTTGGTGTTGAAGAAATTCGTTCCCTTCATTTGAAAATGGGCCTTGCACAAGGCCCTATCTTCAACATGGACCGACCGTTAGTGTGACGTCACCTCGTTTAGTCATTCTGATTTAAATGGGTTTGTTCGTTAAAAAATTGTTTAAAACTTGGTCTGAACTTTGTTGTGGTGCCTACAGAGTAAAAAGAATCAACTTTATGACAGTAATGTGGCCTGAGGAAGGAGGTTATTTTGGGTTGTGACGTCACATATTTGAATGTTTGTGTTTGGAATATGGGAAGCCTAAGATGTTTAATGAAAAATAAATGCCAGAACCGTGTTCCTGGTCATCCAATCTATAAAGTCGGGTACAATTTACCTGATTTTAACAACATTTTAGAAGGTGGGATAGTCCCTTTAATTAGCAGAATCGCAAGTAATTGCCTGTCACCAGCACTTTTACTTTACATTAGCCATAGCATGACACCCACTATTACATACGGAAGAATTGAAGATAAGGCACATTTAGCGTCAGTCCCTTTATGGTGGTTACGACACCCAACTCACATGCTCTGGTCGTCGACCTCAGTGCCCAGCCGCTGCGACATATCCCGCAGTGTGCCGACCGACTGGCCGATCCTGTCCAGGTGGCGCTGCTGTTCTCCCGCCAGGCGGCGCTGCTGCTGGCGCTGCTCCTGCAGCGGCGACTCGGGCGGCTCATCCTCCCGCAGTCTGCTGTATCCACCGCCGGAGGAGCCACCGGTTGGTTTGGCCGGCGCCTGGGGCCGCTCCGGAGGGCTGGAGGGCTGCTCCAGCAGCGGCTGGAGACAGATGTGGGGGGTATGACGTCAGATAGGGCTGATAGGAGTGGCTGAATGGCGAGGACATTGAGATTGGCACACATGCATTGCTGCTCCCGTCACTGTACTATCGGCGTAGACGCATGGATATGATTCACGCATACAAGATGCTGCACGGCCACGTTGATACTGATCCTTCAGAGCTTCTGGCAACGAATCCTGAAAGGCGAACTCGGGGTCACACACTTAAACTACGGAAGCCTCGTGCAACCTGCCGTGCCAGACTGAATTCATTTTCTGTGCGGTGTATTAACGATTGGAACGGGCTTCCAGCAGAAATTGTACATTCGCCCTCAGTCAACGTCTTTAAGAACAGGCTGGATGCACACTGGGAGTCGATCTGGTACTCCACTCCTGTAACAGACTGAGTACTAAGTGAAGTTATGGAAATCGGCGAGAACGGGCCCTACAGGACATCGTGCCTCTTGCCCCGATAACACGAAGATGAAGATGAAGATGTGTCATCACCAGCTGGTCAAACAGGCGTACTAAGGCCGCATCAACAATAATTTAACACCTCTGTCAAAAATAACATGGTAGCAGCCTCAAGTATCACGAAAGCGTTCATCATATTTACCAGAACCGAAAGAATAACTTCTCGGTGAACCCGAAATTCCCATCGTAATTCGTAAGTAGCGTTAGCCGCGAATTGATGGAGAAGAAATGGCTTACAGCAGTCAGCACACACTAATTTTTACACATGCTGCTTACACTTCGTGGAGTGGAGGCCTCCAGGTTCCACGTTACGGGCACAGCTTATATTTTAACATATCCAACCAAGACATGCATATCTACTCACGTTGTATGCGGGAGGCAGCTCGTCAGCTTCTTCTAGCTCCTATAGCGCATGCAGGCAATGTTTTATGTTAGTACCAGTACATGCACCATGCAACACTGTCAGGCTACAGGGCATTCGAATACCTATACAGCTATGTAAATAAGGTGCGAGCAAGAGGCGAGAAGTGACGTGCCTTTTCTCTAGGTCTGGTTGGCAACACGCGAGTACCGCTAGCCTAAATGGTTATGGTTCAAATAAGTTATTAGTTAAAAGAATCATAAAAAATGAAATTGAACAATCAGGTGCTTGTCAGCCGCATGCATTGCATAGCCATTTAACACTTCATAACCCGTACATTTGAGCCTCGAGGTTAAATCAATTAGCTTGCTTGTTAAAAGTATGCTAGTCGCTAAGATGTAAAGTATAACCTTCACCATCAAGGAAGACCTCTGTGTATGACATAGTCACATGCAAGATGCATTGCTTGCCAACTGTGCTCGGGTGCAGCAGTGGGTGCCATCAGCATTCAGCACACCCCTCCCGGCGCCTGGAGCGCCCGGCGCACCTGTCGGGCGGTGCGGTCCGTGTCCGCGGCCCGGTTCAGGCTCAGCCGCTCCTTCAGGGCGTCCAGCTCGTCCCGCGTCGCCTTGACGAAGCTGCGCCGCGCCTGCAGGTCCGCCTCGCTCAGACGGAACTGCTTCTGGTTCTTCTCGACGATACGTGCACGGCGATTAAGGAACTTTAAAAATACAAATAATCGCTTAAGTGTCGAAAATGACAGGGTCTTAAATGTGTTCTATACAAATGAGCTTGTTGAAGAAACACCTTTGTCCATGCATGCTGAATAAGTGATATAAAAACGAAAGTGATGCAAGAATGGTGTAGGGAAACGGTAGCCAAAGCGATACTTCAGTTGAACAAAGGCTTGGTCGAAGAGCGACTAGCAGTTTTTCCGCAATCCCAGCGCACAATATCGCGATCCAGCAGTGACAGCAGCTGAAGCTCCCTTCTCCTTGCCACGTCGATCTGTTCGTAAAGGATATCGATTGTCTCCTGGAGGTCCTCGACGTCCCACTCGATGCTGCGCAGCGCGTTACACAGCTCACTTTCCGTCCAGGTACGCTCGGCGGCGGTGGCCGGTACCGACTCGAGCTCACTGCGCCGCTGGTACAGGCCGCGCAGCTTGGCCAGCGCCTTCACTACGTCACTGGGGGCGGTAGGCGACGTCACAGGTGGGACTACACATCGCTGGGAAGGGAAGGTGATGTCAAGGCCCACACCAGGTCAAAATGTCATTGGAACTGTTCGTATGAGAGGGAGGCACAATATCACTAGGAGTGAAAGCTGAGAACATTATCCAAATTGATGGAATATAAGAAAAAATGTCATTATATACTAATTGTATGCAAATTGCAGTGACACATGAAACCACACTCCAAAAGCTGATAAGTTACCCATTCCATCTAAGAAATGTGAAGTGTGAACTCAAACTATGATTATTAATTTACCTTCTTGGTCTTTACTTAATACTTTGATTTCTTCATACTTCATCCATAAACATTTCTTGTTATACTTTCCATGCCCAAACATTGTTCCAAGGTGACCAATTAGTTAGATGTGAACTATCACCATCATCTACTTAGTCCATTGAAAGCACTAATGAAAGCACCAGGCACACAACTTGAACTAAAGTATAGGTACTATCGATGGTTTTAGAATGTCCAATGATTGGCTCTTGTGAATGTCCTTGCGTGGCCTAGCATTGTTCTGCAGGCATTAATGTATGTACCTACCTGGCCCAATGTATGTATATGTACTGCTACTTGTTATAACTGTCACCTCACCTTGTCACCTCACATTGTGTGTGTGATGCAAATAAATGTGATGATGATGATGATGATGATTGGGGTGACATCTGTTAAGAGAGTACTGGGGTATTTGGCGCAAATGACCCCCACAGAGCCCCAAATCAACAATACCTTGTTTTCTAATAAAATGAAAACCATGCAACTTTAAGGGAAAGTTAAGTTTGTTTTAAACTGCAGAACAGTGTAAAAGCTTTCAAAATTCTACGAGTTTTTGGAGTTTGGAGAATGCTTTTGGGATCATGCCCCCTGCAGCGTCCAAGACTGCTTTTCTGGATCAGCCAGTGTTTAAGATTGAAAAACAAGAACACAATGACTGGCAAATTAATCAATATTATGCATGGTAAAAACCAAAGGCAGTATTGCAATTCATTATTGACCAACAAATGTCTTTAACAGCACACTCCGGAATCCGGATGAAATCACGCTGAGCACAGACACAGTGACTATAAATAATACTGAGTAGGGTACTCACTCTCGAACAAGGTAGAACGGATCTTCCATGATTTAAAACCTTGTAGCCTTTTCAATGTGTAGCAAGCTCAGAAATCGACAGCCATCACGATTCACGAGCATACCAATACCATCCGTTCAAACTAACTGATCTGATATTGATATCACAGTATCAGGATTACAGCCCGAAGCACGGTAAGTGAATGAATCAATTCACCCTTGCGTATTGCTCGTTAGGGCTCACGCCTCTTCCTTGACGAGTTTTACGCTCAACTGCGCCCCGATTTCTCTTATCTTATCGCAACCAACATTCCGATGCCGAGCTCCGATCAATATTACACTGCTAGCACACACGAGTGGTGGTGTTTATGCGCATTAGATGTCACAGCAGCGTCAATACTGAATCAGCATGCCATAGCTAAATTGTATTTGTCAATTCAAGTACGAAGTCTGCTCATAAAAATTACTGAATAAAATATTCGGGAATACCTATATTAACAACAGCTTTTTTATATAGTGTCATCAATACCTACACATCATTGCATGTTAAAAAACGTAAACACTTTTGTCATTTTACATCAGAGTTCAAGCAAAAGCGGGCAGCACTGGCTCCACTTTTCCGGGTGCCAGCTCTCCAAAAACACCACCTTTACAACAACGATAACGAGGGTGACAAGTCCGGCTGAAACAAATCCAACTATCGCGAGGACCAGATACTGACCAAACGAGAGATTTTTCTCAGCCACGGCCATCCGACGCCAGCGAGCCGCCTCCGCCGACCGCTCCGGAGGAAACGGTGGATCCGGAGGGGGCACTCCGGGTGGCAAAGGAGGATCCAGGGGATCCAGTTCGGGGTCATCCAGATCTTCTGCGATCGCTTCCCCTTCAGTTGGGGATGACACGTAAGAGACAGAAGTGTTCGACTCCACAGGTAGCGCAAATTTGAAAATGTTCGTTTGGACAACCGATTGACTGCTCGTTGCCAGTTTAGCGAGGTGGCCGGGTTTATCAGTTGGATGCTGTGCATTTGTTCTCCCCGGCGTTAGGGCGTGACGGCGCTGTCGGCGGCGTCGGCGTCCGGAGCGCATCAGCAGCATGGCCGGCAGAGCGCCCGGGCGAGCGGAGCTGAGGACGGGCCCGGTGGCCGGGGCGGGACCGGTGCCGGCGGCCGCTGTCAGCCGCGGCGATCCCGGCAGCTGCACCACGGCTCCAGCCGCTGGTGGAGCGCCACCCCCGCTAGTGCCAGTGTCCACACCTTCTGCCGCCGACCCCACGGCCGGCTGACCGGCAGACTTCATCGCCCACCGCCCACTGCTCCTCCCTCCGGTCCCTTCCCGACTTCCACTCCCTCCTCGCGCCCCAGCCGTCTGGGACGGGGCCGGCCCGACGTAATACTGCACTTTGATCGGACCCTTCTGTTTCACCGAGACCAGCTGGTCGCCGGGTCCAACCACGGTCTTCTCGACGGCCGGTGATGTCTCCTCTTCACCTTCCGTCTCCTCGTCGTCTCCGCTGTCTACCGGCTGCTCCACTGCCGACACCGTCTCCAGCTCGCCGGCGGCGGTTTTTCGGTCCGAGTGGGCGACACCAACCCGCTCGGCTACTCTGCCATTTGGTGATACCACGTTACCGACAGTGGCGTCCGCCTCTGACTCACCCGCTGCGCTCTTCTGGTCGATCTGCAGCCGCTGCAGCTGCTGTAGCTGCTGCAGCTGCCCGTCTGCGAGCTGCCGACCGCCCAACAGCTGCTGAAGCTGCCCAATCAGCAGCTGCAGTCGGCTAAACTCGGAGCCAGCTACCTGAGACTGACCCTGACCGCCGCCCGGCGGCATCTCGATCCCAACACCGGCTACCGCCAGGTTCCCACCCGCCCCTGAAGTTCCCTCCTGTGATCCTTGTTTCTGCTGCGGTGGTCCTTGCCCCTCCTTCGTCCCCTCCTGTCCTCCAATCGGTTTCGAGGCCGGCAGCGGAGACGGAGACGGTGCCGGAGACGGTGAAGAAGACGGAGATGGTTTTCGTGAAGATGACGGAGATTGTGTTGAAGGCGATGGTGACGGAACTGGAGGTGGAGGTGGCGGTACTGCAGGTGACGGAGACGGTGCTGCAGGCGACAGAGACGGCGATGGAGATGACTCTGACTCCGTCGGAGGCTCTTCACTCGCAGTCGAGCCGTTCCCCCGGCTCAGAACAGTCTCCGTGTCGATCTCGATGCGTATCTTCCCCGACGAGGGTACCCCGACCGAGTTGTTACAGTCGGGGTCGGTGGGGTCACAGCCGGTCCCGGCCTCGGCGGTTCCAAGCTGCTGAGTGCACGTCGGTCCGCCCCAGCCGACAGCGCAGCTGCAGTTGAACTGGCCCTCGCCCTGCAGAAAAAAACGGCAACTGTGACGCGAGGATTCATTGCAGTAAATTAAATTGCTCATCGCTCTTACATCGTATAAGAGTCCGTTCAACCTCTTTACATATCCTTAAACTTACAGACTTTACAGACTTTAACAGCCCAAGCGTCATATTCCTGCTCCTTATGCCTAGCGTTTGCCATTTCGTGGAACATCCGACCGTTTAAAGCATTCCGCACGGCGGGTTTTCGCCACGAGCCATGCGGTACAGCATACCTTCAGGCGCTCGACAGTGGCGCCATCTATGAAATGGAATGTAAGCTTACGCCAAGTGGTCAAACGCTTATACAAAAGCGGTCGCATTAAAAAATGGCGCAGCAGTTCTTATTTTGCGTAATATCTTCACAGATATCACACTTTTAAGCATAGAACAGTCACACCGGAGCATACATACCGTGGATAGGCAGGTGGCGCCGTTCTGACAGGGCTGCAGAGCGAGGCACGCGTCCACCATGTGGCAGCGAGGGCTGGAATCTGAACGGAAAACGGACAGGATAGCGTTACTCCCTATCAGACTCCTAGTTTGATTGAACTTAGATGCGAAATACGATTCATCAGAATTTTATATTCATAGCACTGACTCATTCGTCCGTCTATATCACTGGGAACACGACATAGCATGACATCTTTGATCCTGTGACAGGTGTTATGCGGATGCAGAAAACCTACCTGACACTCGCTCGTAGCCTGGCTTGGCGTCGCAGCCGCAGCTGTATCCCAGCTCCGAATCCGGGTCACGAGCGCACGTGAACTCCTCGCCACACTGAAACGAACGCAGACGTGGTGATTTCCCGCATCGGTCCGGCACGAGAGTAGTCAGTGACAATCGTAGCTCGTTCATAGCACTAACCAGTAACCACTATGCAGGGGAAATTGACAAAATATGCAAGGAAAAGCGCTTGTAGTCTCAGGATATTTGTCATTAAGACAGTTCGATGTGGTTCGTTACCATAGCAATACCCGAGGTTCTTTGTGCATTCAGTTAAAAATCACAGCGACGGCATCCAAATAACATTGAGTACAAACATAAGATGCCATTGCGTTCTTCCAAGGGAAATAAAGGGCATTCACGAAAAACCGTTTACTTTCGAGCCATACCAGATCATTGCCGTCGGAGCAGGGACTGGAGGGCTCCTCGCACGTCGTGCCCGTCCACGCCGGAGGGCACGTGCACGTGTATCCGGCACGTTCCTGGGAGGCACACGTGGCGCCGTTCTTACACGGACGTTTGGCCAGGCACTGATCGGTCACGATGCAGTGCGGGTCGGTGTCTGGAAAGGTGGGGAAAGATTTGTCGGTAGAGTCCGATAGGTGCGAGAGCCGAGAATGGTCGCCAAACGACCGCTAGTTTCTTTACTTCGCGTTAGAGTGGGAATAAAGAAGCCGATTTCAGTCGTTGGAAATAGCGATTATCAAATAAGGCTGGCATCAAAATAGCCAGCGTGAGAGTTACAATCGAATCAAAACTCAATTCCAACAGCTCATTAGTGTGATAACTTCGCTTCAGCTGCGCAAGTATCAGCCCAATTATGGACAGATGGAGCCTCACAAACCTGACTTGGCCTCCCAGCCGGGTGTTTTTGAGCAGCCGCACGAGAAGCCCAGCGCGCTGTTGGGGTTCCGCTGGCAGCTGCCGACCGTTTTCGGGCCGCCACAGAGGTCCTCGGTGGTCCCCTCGCACGGGTTCGCCGGCATATTACACTCCTTGCCCTGGATAGCAGAATGAATGAGCAGGTCATGGCGGCTTACATTCACCCCATTTGTTGAATTTGTGTCGGTATTTCAGTGTTCAGTCAGAACGTCAAGACTCTGAACATTTAGTATGCGAAGTGACTGACCGTCCAGGCGGGAGTGCAGGAGCAGCTGTAGCCCAGGTGCGGCAGACTCGTGCAGGAGCCGCCGTTCTGACAGGGCGACCGCTGCAGACACACGTCTGTCACCACACACTGCGGGTCCGACTCTGCCGGGGATACAGACACGGGTCAACCAATAATCTGACTCCGAACTGATCCTGACCTGACCCTGAATCTGACCTTACCTGACACTGAAACCCCCTGAACTGATCCTGACCTGACCTGACCGTACCTAAATTTGACCTTGACCTAGCCCTGATCTGATCTAAGCCTAACATGACCCTGACCAAACCCTTACCTGAACCTCACCTGACCCTTATGTGACCCTTACCTGACCTGACCTTGACCTGACCCCGACCTGACCCTGACCTGACCTTGACCTGACCCTGACCTGACCCTGGCCTGACCCTGACTTGAACTGACCTCAACCTGACCCTGACCTGAACTGACCTCAACCTGACCCCGACACTGAACTGACCTCATACAGCCCCTCTCTCCACTCACCAGACTTTGGCCCGTAGCCGGGCACGGCATCACAGTTGCACGTGTATCCGGCCAGGGAATGGGGTGCCAGCTGACAGGCGAAACGTTTTCCACAGAGCGCCTTCTCGCGGCAGGGGTGCCTGGGTTCAGAGCAGGTAGCCCCGCGCCACAGTCCGCGGCACGAGCACTTGAACTGACCTCCCTCCAGACTCGTGCACACGCCGTCATTGAGGCACGGCGAGCGCGCCAGGCACACGTCATCTACTACACACGTGGGGTCCTCGTCTGTAGAGGAGAGGGGACAGAGAGAGTGAGGGAGTTGGACCGAGGCACGTCCTCCACCTGACAAGTTGGATCCTCGTCTGCAGGGCAAGAAAGGGAGGAAAGTTCATGACTTCCAAATTTTAGTAGACCAGCTAACGCAGCCGAATGCAAATTAATTAGTTTTCCTTTACCTGAATCCCACCAAGGATAACTCAGATAGATAGACAGATAAATAGATAGATTGCCTACTAGTACTAAATGACTTCGATGATCTCCTTTGGCTACTAACCAGGCAGACTGGGCATGTCAGACTGACTCGAGGTGACCCTGACCCGTCTCCCCCACTGACCCGAAGTGACCACTCACCCAGACCAGCC